GAAGAGAGGTCGGCCCCACCAAAAGTTTAAGCCCCCACATTGGCCGACACCTCAGACGCTCGCTGTCCCTCAGGCTTGCAACAGTACCTTAGGCTTGGCGCCACCTTTGCCTTATGAAGCCGTTCCTGAACTGACGTCGTTTATCAGCCTTGTCCAAAACGTGTTCAACTTCAACACCTCAGAACCAACAAAGGAACACGACCATTTTGGTTTGATATTCGCCATAATGGCGATCCCATGGGACTCGTAAGTATATCTTCTAGCATTAAACTTTGTCCTTGTGACTTTATTCTTCTTGATAGCCACTTACACATCCTGTACAAACAACAACTAACCTTAACCAGTATCCGATCCCTCCTTATCTTCTTTGGCCCTATACTTTTACCAAAGGCCATATCATACTATCGATCCGTCAAGGCCTCTTCGCAAGCTCGACATGCGCCCATAGTTCCCGTGCCGCCCAAAGTCCGCGTTGCGCTGGCTCTCCTGGCCTTCCTAATCATCAGCTACATCCTCAAGACATTACCGCCGTTCGCACCCGAAAACCTGTTCCTTGCGACCCAAAGCCGTCTCCAGATCCCGGTCGATGTTCTATTCAACCGTGTTGCAGTTGGAAGACCCGACAATGTTCTCACGAAGCAAGACGAAGCGCTGAGGGGCAGATTTGTCAACCTCGAGAGCCGACTGCTATACTTGCAATTTGGACCTGAAGTGCTCGCGAACTGCCCGTTCTGCACTTCGGAAGAGCCAAAGACATTCTTCTATTATGCTCTGCCACAACTCCTGTGGCCTCATATCGCAAACCTCTTCGCCATTGCTTTCGTTACAAGTCCAACATTCACGGGGCGAGCTGGTTCCCAATGGCGACCAAAGGCTACAATGGCTGCCATGACCATTACCGCTCTCGATATTTACTTTGTCAACTCTTACAACTACCAAGCCAATGCACGTGCTCTGCGTCTGTCGGAAGTTGACTTCTTTTACTGGACTGCTCGAGTCGCACGCCTTGTGACCCTCGCAGCCTTTGACGCCGCTCTAGGCTGGCTTCTGTATCTATCCGCTACGAACCGCGCCTTCGTTGAGCCTCCCTCGCCCGTGGAGCGCATTGAGGCAACCTCACGTGCTCTTCTCACAGTGAAGAGCAAGCTTAGTGCTCTCGGTATTGTCAAGAACACTGCGCTGCGCGATGAAGACCTCCGATCACGAAGCCATGCCTACTGGAGTCACGAAGTGCGCCTCATGGGCGAGGTTATGGAGGAAAGGGAGGTTGTGGAGGGAGTCAACGATGCATTGACTAATCGCATTGACGTGGCGACCATAACGAGGGACGCTGAAGGATATGCACAGAATGTATTGCACTCCTTGCGTGGAGAAACGGCAGAAGACGATAGTATCTAATCCGTCCTCTTGCGTATTATCCCAACCCTTCTTTATAAAGAGCTATTCTTACATAGAGGTCTATGACCGTTGAAATTTGGCTTGAATAACCATGAAAACCATATCTCATCCTTTCTCTTGTAGCAGTCGAGCGTGATACTCTCCCCGCTCTCCCTGAAACATGCACTGCGTCCACTCCAAACATGCATTTAGTGTAATTTCCACATCGTAATTTCAACATTAGCTCTTAGACTCCGGCCTTGTCGATTCCGGCCTCACTGGTCCCGTTGCAGCACTGCTAGTGCTACCCTTTCTACTTGGTGTTTCTAGAGCTCCCTCCTGTGCGCTGCGCTCTAAGAAGTTTGCCCATAGCTCAGATAAAGACTCTTTGTCTTTGGCAGATGTTGACTCGTTGAAGAGATCGGTGTTGAGAGATGGTGAGCTTGGTGTGCGTGTGAATGGTGACATGGGTAGGCGGAGAGAATTAGATGATGTGCCTGGACGAGCGAGACCGGCCTGCTCTCGCTGCTCGTCAGTCCAGTTGAGATAGCCAGCCATGACTTGAAGGACCTGGAAACGTTTGGCGTCACCACGGTCTAGCGTGAGGAAGTGGAGGAGATGGTTTGTGACGATTTGTCTAGCCGTAGTTAGTACAAAGGTTTCATATGAGTTGTCGTATCTTAGACATACCTGTCAACATTGTCTTCCGGCTTTGTCTTCTTGAGGTACCGCAGTGCCTTGGTCAAGTGGTCATTCAACACAATCGCCTCATGCCTCAACTTTCCAATGAGAAGGTTCTTCTCCTTGACCTCCTTCTCATAAGGCGCTGTTCGCTCAAGCTCCTGTGAGAGTGTTTGCTTGGCTTCTTCAGCTTCCTTTGCGCGGGCATCGGCTTCTTGCACCTGTTTCTTGAGAGCTTGAACTTGCGCCTCGGTAGTCTCGACCATATCGCGAAGCTCCTTCTTGCGAGCATCTTGGATTTCGCGGAGGGCGTTCTGTAGGTTTTCGATAAGTGTCATTTGACTCTCTCGCTCTGTAGTGGCGCTCTCGTAGTTTTGTCGTAGGATAGTAACTTGTTCCTCAAGTTCCGAGACCTTATCAACCAAGCTCTCCTTGATAGATCGCTCTTCCATGGCGATAACCTCCCATTCGCCCATGGCGTTTGCGGTAGTCTCCATCTCCTCCTTAAGATGTTGGACATGTCGGACTAGTTCTTCCTTCTCCTTGCTCCAGTTTTGTGCTGATAGGTTGTTGCGACTTCGCAGAGTGTTGAGCTCCCTGGTCGCATCTTGTAGCTCCTCCTTGAGCTTGGCGACATCGTCTCCAGACGATACAGCATTATTTCTTAGTTCCTCATTCTCTGCCTCGAGCTCTTCTATGCGCTCTTTGCTTTCTTCGAGCTCTGCCTTGTCGCGCTTAAACCGGTCGCTCAGCGTCTGTTTGATCTTCTCAACTCGCCCGAGAAGGGTCTGGTATTCCTCCTCGGCATTCTCCTTGGCGGCATTGCTCTCCTCTAGATCGCTCTTGAGCTGTGTGACTTCATTGCTGTGTGTCTCTTGGATGTTCTCGAGCTGCTTCCGTAGCTGTTCGACCTCGGCCCGCAAGGCCTCTCGTTCCTGGCTCATGGCTTCTAGCTTGGCGGAGGTATCTGTATCGTCGGGCGTTTCCTTTTCGCCATCAACTGGAGGGGGTGTGAGCCCGTTGCTCTGAGCCTTGGGCTCTACGGCATGCCCGTTACTGTGGACAGGGGGAGCTTCTTCGTTTACGACTTCGTCTGCATTGACTGCGTCTGCATCTGCATTGACTGGAGTTTCCTGTGGAGTTGATACATGTCAGCGCGCGCGCAATTGTATGATAGATATGGGAGGTGAGCATCATAACTACGTACGGGCTGAGTGGGTGTCTCGGGCTCGTCTTCGAGGGTCTCTTTATCTGAACCCTGCTGAGGGTCTGAACTACCACTAACAGGTTGCTCAGCAGCCTTGTTCTTGTTGGCGTTCTTCTTCTTCTTGTTGTTCTTCTTTTTTGACGACGACCCTGCACGAGTAGGAAGCGAGGCCCCATGGGTTAGGACACGTTCTCGAATCTCCAATTCCACGTCAATTGGCAGGGGTAGGGATTGCACGCACCTGAATTCGTCGCCTGGGTCGGGTTCGCTGCGACGGTGGAAGACATGGTGAGTTTTTTAGTCTGGATAGAGCATCCAGACCCAGATCTAGAGGTTCGTTCAATGTAATGTCGTGCAGATAATCCTAGCGCCTGTGGGTGGATTATAGGTAGGTTGCTTTAAGAGGAACGAACAGACGGGAATTGGATGTTTGGTACGTGTCAGTAATTACTGACCCTCCCTCGTGTAAGGTTCCGTTGGTAGGTGGTCAAATTGCATGTCAGCAGCCACCAGCTGACGTACTTGACCTGGTGGAATTTAGTGGGCTTGGCCTGGAAGTGCCCTGGAGTTAGTTCCGAGTCGTTTCAACGGCTGATCTTCCGGGCGAGGTCGGCTCCGAATTGTCGGCCGGCTACTACTGTAGGACCATATCAGTTGCATGAGTATATGAATTTGATCATGAAAATATTCTCTTCGCTTTTAAACGCCAATGGCCGACTATGTGATATATATTGTAGCTGCTGTTCACGTACCTGGGAGGATCTGGACTCGAGAATGGCTTCCAATCACTGACTACAATCACTGACTGAGGATGGTTCACTACTGATATCTATATAATGGAACAGTAACTCTCGCCTCAGCTCTCTCTGATTCGGTGTATGGATTCCTTTCCAACACTGCCAATTCTGTGCTACAGTTATGAGGACAAGATGTTCTTTTCTGTTCCTGTAATAGTGAAACATCTTCCTTTGCACTGACTCACTTATCAGGAACTTTGGTCAGTATCATGTGCCATAAAGAATGACTCCTGTGATATGTCTGATCAAAATAAAGGGGATTTGATTACTCTGTGAAATCAGTATGGCCCATTTGTGAACCTCGATTAGTTGGTTCCTAAGTATACAGCGTTCCATGTAAGAGACGCAAACACGAGCATTAGTAAATTGAACTCAAGATCTATGTAAGATATACTCCTCGATGAGAGCTGAAACTGACTGAGATATGAATTCAAGGCGGATTCAGATATCCTTGTAACAAATCAAGTTGGTTAACTCTGAGTATCTTGGACGGCACAAACAGCTGGAAAAGATGCTCTGGTTGAATGTTCAGGTAAATCGGGCTTAGTCATATTCAAGTGGATCCTCACGATGCTATTTTCTCATCTGTCTCACGCGTCGAATCTCGTTTTCTCTTCTTCACATATTTTTACCCTTCGCAATCACATTTTTGAAAAAGACCATTGTTTTCCGTGGCTTTTTCGCGATCGAGCGCGAAGTAGACTATAACCGCCTTTCATAATCCCATTGCTTGCTCTTTTATCTCCTATGAGTGCTATGGGTTCGCTTATGTGCGTACATATATATCATCATTGAAATCCTTTTTGTAGTAAAAAGAAGAAGCGCGCGACTGATGATCCAAATTGCATTCGTTTCATTAAACATGGATCTTTTTGTAACTATGTCTATGCCGCTTTAAAACTCCGAAACCCAAGTGAATTGAACAATTCCGTACTCAATCAAGCCTTTGCCTTTCGGCCCTTGCCTGCTTTTGTTGCCTTGCCCTTTGCGGCTTTGCCCTTGGCCTTGGGAGCTGGCTTTTCCTCGGTAACAATCTCAGTCTTCTCCTCGACAACTGTCTCGACGACCTCAGCGGGCTCCTCAACCTTGGACTCCTCCTCCTTCTCAGCGGGCGCATCCTCAACGGCCTTGGTCTCGCTCTCTCCGTTCTCAATAGCAGCGGGAGCTGGCACGTCCTTGATCTCGGGGGCATCGAACTCGTAACCGAGCTCCTTAAGCTTAGCAGCCTTCTTTGCGCGCTTAGAGTTCTCCTTTGTAACCTTGTTCGCCCATGCAGACTCGGTCAAAGGTTTCTCAAGCTTGTGGCCAGCCATCTTGTTCCAGGGGACCTTCTTGAATCGTCGGTTGGCACCCTTGAACAAATCATCGCGAACTTGCTCCTTGGGGATCATTCGGCACTTGAGTATGTGACCGAACAGAAGGTAGTTGTCCATGGTCTTGCACACGATCTCAGCGGTAGAGGCCTCCTCGAACTTGACGAAAGCGTAGTGCTTGCTGGCACCAGTCTTCTTGTTTCGGGAAAGTCGTAGCGCAACAATGGGGCCAAACTGCTCGAAGTACTGTCTCATCTCATGCTCGTAGAAACCGTGGGGAATGCGGCCGATGTAGATAACCCCAGCTTCCTCGTCGGAAGCCTTGGCGGCCTTCTGAACCTCCTTGGAGACCTTGGGGATCTTGCCGACATCCTGTCCCTGCTTGAAGCTAGAGTCGCCCTCGGTGATATCCTCGTCGTCAGAGTCCAGCTCCTTCACGATCGCCTGAACTTCCTTGCCCTCCTCAGCGTCAGAATCGGAAGACTCATCGGGGATATCGAGTGTGGTGGTTTCCTCCTCGACGATCTTGACTTCCTCGGACTTGCTCTTGGACTTTTGCGCCGGCTTGGTATCGGCCTTTTTTGTGACAACAGTCTTCTTGACAGACTTTTGCTTCTTCAGCGACACAGGTGACGCTTCCTCGGGGGCTGTAAAAGCTGTGTTAGCGACACAAGAAAAGCTATATCGTGGGCATTATGTCTCTACCTTTTCGCTTAGGCTGGGCAGCTTTGGCAGCGCTGTTAGGCTTCTTGATGTCCGAAACGGCTAAAAAGAGTCAGCGCATGAAGATCAATGACTCTCAAGTTACTTACACTTTCGCTTTCTCAATTCTGGGGCCATTGTATCTGATTTGGTTGTCTTGTTGCTAGATACTCAAAAGCTAGACTCCCGCAGAAAAAGATGCGTGGGCCATTGAAAAAAATTGGGATTCTGCCATGTCTGCTCTGGGCGGTGAAGAATCGCGTGCACTATCAGTTTATCGTAGTGGGGTTTGGGTCCTTTCAGCGGCTTGGTCCACTAAAAAGTGTCTGTAGCTTCTAGAGCTTACAACCCGAGCAGCGCTGGGACATACAGAATAAGACGGGATCAATCTACATCACCAACCATTACCTGACAACTCAATTTATATTCTTGACAAAATATTATCGATTCATACTCGAAGCTTATGCTTCTTGCAAACTTAGAGCCAGACGGACAATAACCCTTCGACCTCAGCCATCTGGAACCGAGGCTTCTCAAACAAAGCTTAACAGTTCAATATCCATAACTCTCCATCGTGGCAATCCGACCTTTGATTGCAGAAGATGTCAAAAAAGCAAGAGAAATTGACACAAGAGGAGATATGGGATGATTCTGCCCTGATTGACTCTTGGAACGAAGCCTTACAAGAGTACAAGGTAAGTAAGTTCTCTCTATCGTAAACGGTTACTGACAGACATTCTGCAGAAATATCACAGCATTCATGCTAAGGGCGGAAGTGTACGGGAGTTGGAGCCTCAAAATCGGTAAGTTGAGACCTCAAGAGGTGAGCTTCACTCGGCTAACGAGTGAACGAAGGGCCGAGGCGGAGGCTGAGTCTGGATCTGAGCAACCCCAAGTTACAGAAACAGAAGAGATTGAGTTGGAATCGGGAACAGCAGAACAAAACAAGGTGGGCTTGGCTACGTTGATCTGTGCCATGAGGATCTTGGCTTCATATGCTCAGACAACTAACATGGAAGCTTAGGATATCCCATCATCGCGCAATGAGTCTAAGGAGCCAATCGCGTCTCAAGGGACTCCCTCATTTCCTATACAAACCGTCCTCGGTTCCGGTAAGTCATGATCCTTGAATGGTATTTCTTGTCATATAGGACTAATCAAAACACACAGTCCAGGACGAAAGCCTCAAGAAACTCCTTATGTCATGGTACTATGCTGGGTACTACACAGGGTTGTACGAAGGGCAACAGCAAGCTCAGCAGAAGTAGGATGGTTCGTAAGCGAAGAAACAATTTTACATCCTTGAAACACGGAAGAGCGGTAGTCATCCTCAATTTTGTCAGAGAAAGTCATGGCATACGCATGGGTTCCTCGGTCGGGCTGTTGCCGTTGATGCTACGATGCAAGATCGGCCGCCGATTCACGTGGAAGTGTTCATGGATGGAAGAGATAGGTTCGTGGCGTTTCCGTCGAAACGAGAGGCCTCAAGATGCCAAGGCCAGACTTTAGAGACTTTGCTGTAAGTTCATATCATGTCAAGATATAGCGACCGCAATTTGGGACCCAAGAGACTAGGTAGACTATTATACCAGCGCGAAGGACGGTGCAGGCAGGTCTCTTCTCTTCCTCTGTGGATACACTAGACTACAATATTGCCAGAGTATGGTTATCAGTTAAGCATCCATCCATAGCAACACCAATGATACACGCAAAGTGATTAAGGTAGGTCACATATTAGGTCTCAAGCCCTGCAAGGAGATAAACTTTTTGTCGTCCGAATTATTGTGCCTGGAGGGGTCTACAGCGGATGAGACTAATACTATGTCGATGAAACCTCACCGTTGACGATCAATGGTGAAACGGCCTCGGTGCCGCTCAAACGGCGAGTATAAGCGTATGTATTTAATAGCTTGGCCCTTCTTGGCTTCATCAGAGAGCATCGGGTCGAGTCGGTCGACGATATCATAGTGTAATTGTGGTATAATAGGAGCCGCAGGTGGCTGGGCCTTGGACTCTCAGCACTCACGGAGTAGCCAAGTCCCGTTCTTGGCTTTGTCTGACCTGTCTCTTTGACGTCTCACCACTAAGAAAAGCAGCCCCTGTCAACGATGGTTGATACGACCCTATATAGAGTTAATTAAGCACTTTTAGGCCTATACCGGCCGCTACGTAAGAAACCATCCCAATCATTATGTGTCGCATATTATTCGCTTGGCACTAGCAACAGCGCAAAAGGGTAAAACTCCAAAACACCAAACGTGATCCGAGACGGACCTGTCACAGAGACCACCCCCGCATCAACAAGCGTTTCACTGAGACCTACACCTACAGTGATGATGATCGGATCTAGACAGACCGAAGCGAGCAAAGCTAAGATTCGGCTTCTTCAGCGGCCGTGTTTCGCAAATGTGTTTGAGGGCTTGTCTTTTCCAGGGGCTTACAGGCGTTAAACAGTTTCGCTCGTGAGATGCATTGGATGCCCGGCAAGGTAGCTATAATAAGGCCACAGCAGAACCACGATTGTCAACAAACATCCCATCCCCATATCTCCCTCTACCTCTTTCTCTCTCGATTGTTTCTTGTGCTTCATTCTTTTTGCACTTGAGAATTCCTTTCTTTGAAGGCAGGCCCTCTTCATTATTACTACTTACTTAGTCTCTTAATCGCTAGATCGATCTCATCTCGACTCGACTCGAACATCTCGCAATCTTTATTCCCTTTCTACTCTAATACCCTCAAGTTTTAAAACATCATGAGAGCTTCAACTAGTCTGGCCGTGGCCGCCGCCTTTGCGCCCTTGACCATGGCGCGTTTCCTCGACTTTGCTCAGCCTGAACGACGGGATCACCCGATGCCTGCCGAAGCCATGCCCGCTGAGGCCATGCCCGCTGGACACGTTCTCCCTGTAGAGCTTCTCAGTGGACACAAGAAGGTTGTTTCGGGAGTCTCAAAGACCGAGATCATCATCATCTGGGCGAACCCTGGAGCTGGTGCCGAGACAACCACCATCAACGAAAAGGTCACAGTCACTGAGACCGTCACCAAGGGAGGCGAGGCCGTTGCTACTCCTGTAGCTCCTCAACAGCACACCGTCACTGTTGGCGGTCCAGGAGGTCTGGTCTACCAGCCTGAAGAGCTTCACAACGTCCCCATCGGCGACACTGTTGTCTTTGAGTTCCTGTCACAGAACCACACCGTCTCTCAGTCTGGTTTCGACAAGCCCTGTGCTCTTCTCGAGGGTGGTATGGACTCTGGTTTCATGCCCAACCCCAACAACACCGTTTCTCCCCCTCCACAAGTCGCTATGCAAGTCATGGTTGACACTCCTCTCTGTAAGTGACAAACACGATTACGCCCTGATTATCATACTAACCTTTGAAGGGTTCTACTGCAAGCAAGGCAACCACTGTGGTCAGGGCATGGTCTTTTCCATCAACCCTACTGCTGAGAAGACTCAGGCCAAGTTCAAGGAGATGGCCATCCAACAGAATGGCGATGGCAAGGCTACTCCCATCACAGGCGGCGATGCTGCCCCTGCCCCTGCACCTCCCGCCGAGTCCAAGCCTGCTGAGGCTGCTCCCGCGGCTCCTGAAGCCACGGGAGTTGTCCCTGGAAAGGGTACCATTGGTGGCGATGGCAGCTGTGTGTGCATGGTCTCCTGCTCAGCTGGAGGTTTCCCAGCTCAGGCCCAAGGCATTAACTCATTTGGCGGCCTGGGCGGTAAGTCATCTTCAACTCTTCAATACCATATCAAATACTAACGGATCTCTAGGTGCCATGCCTTACAAGTTGGACAGTGTGGTTTAAGTTGAGCAATGACATGAAATTCTTGGAGGTGTTGATACCACGGACGATTTGAGTTTGAATATGTTATTACTTGAATGTACCATTTATGGGTTTTAGACGACTGGAATTATGTTTGGGTACCTGGCCTAGATGGCTGATAAAATCTTCACGGGTTTGAAGATCGGTTTAGGTAGTTTAATGGGACAAAGCTTTATGGGAGAAATCATGATACCTTGTAACATTTGGTGAAGTTGCTATGTCTGTCATTCACTATGTTGTGAAGTATGTGCCTTTCATGTATCACAAGAAAATAGACATGTCAACAAGAATCACAGAGGTAATGATAGTCTCTGTTTCCAAGTCCATGGTACAACCTTTATAGTACAGTATTATAAACCCCTAAGGGTAACCAACCTTATCCTTACTCCTGAGACAATGCAAAACCACGCTTTTTATCCATTTCCTTATGCCATCCAGTCTATTCCAGATTCCATCCATAAAATTAAGTTCCGCCCATCTCAAGATCTGGATCAACCTCTGTTCCTAGATCTCGGTCCTCAACAAATCGACGTCCAACGAGTTCGTCAGGTAAATATGTCTGCTTCACCTGCCCATCACGGTAGTTGGGTGGATACTTGTACTCAGCGCCATATCCCATGTCACGCATGAGTCTTGTAGGAGCATTTCGCAAGTGTAGAGGTACAGGAAGACCGGCCACACCCGGTTCGCGTAGTGCTGCGTAGGCATTGTTGAGAGCCCGGTAGGCCTTGGTGCTCTTGGGCGCATTACATAGCGCAACAGTGCAGTGTGCCAGCGGTATTCTAGCTTCCGGCATGCCAATTTGTTGTGTGGCTGTGTATGTTGCCGTAGCAAGTGGTAGGAGGGTGTTATCCGCCAGGCCAACGTCCTCAGAGGCAATGACAACCATGCGGCGGGCGATGAATAAGGGGTCCTCGCCGGATTGGAGCATGCGCGCAAGATAGTAGAGTGCCGCATCTGCATCGTTTCCACGGACTGATTTGTGGAAAGCAGAAATAGTATCATAATGTTGATCGCCTGCACGATCGTAGACAAGAGTCTTTGTAAGGGCGGCCTTGATATCTTCTTGTGTGATACCCTCGCGGGTTGTGAGCGAAAGGGCGAGCTCGAGGAGGTTCAAGGCAGTACGAGCATCACCATCCGCAAAGCGTGCCAGGTAGGTCACCATAGCTTCGTCCAATAATGGTGTTTGTGGATAAACTGATTCTTCCTCCTTGATTGCCCGCTGTAAAATGCGGACTACATCCTCTGTTGTAAGAGACTGCAACGTAAAGGTGCGGCATCGGGAGAGTAAAGCATTTGCCACCTTGAAAGAAGGGTTCTCTGTAGTCGCGCCGATAAGCGTCACTGTACCGGCCTCAACAGGCTTGAGGAACACGTCTTGCTGGGCCTTGTTGAAGCGATGAATCTCGTCACAAAAGATTATGGTCTTGCGACCAGTGAGGGCAAGATCGTTCATCGCCTCTTGGAAGTATTTCTTGCACTCGCTGACTCCTGTACTTGTCGCATTGAGTTCGATGAAGCGACTGCCGACCATACGAGCGATACATCGTGCTATTGTTGTCTTTCCCGTGCCTGAAGCACCCCATAGAATCATGGAGGGTACTTGGTTCGACTCGATAAGGGAGCGCAGCACACCATTTGGCCCAACTAGATCTTGTCCGCATACTTCGTCAAGGTTTCGTGGCCGCATTCGTTCGGCCAAGGGCGCAGCGCGTTGTGTCTTGGTCTTCTTCACCACTCTTCCATCCTGCTCCGTATTCGGAGACCAAGTGCTCGTTCCGTTGGCATTCTCGCCGTTGGTCGTCTCTTCTGCATCCTTGGAACTTGCTACTCCATGACCTGGGCCCTCTTCGAAAGTCCTCTTCTTCCCTGCTATAGGCTGTAATGCTCCGTTCACAGGAGTCGCTATTCGCCTCTCAGAGGCAGCTTGTCGTTTTGGCGCGGGCGTAGAGAAGAAGTTGGAAGCGTTTCGTTTTTGAGAGTTACTCTGTGGCGTCTGTGATTGCGGGGGTGTCGGGTCCTTCTCTTTGTCTATGATGAAGCTCTCGCATCCTGAGTCGATGTGGCTGTTGATCTCGGAGGATTTGACAGGCTTGTTGCAGATGGGGCAGTCGACCGCCATGGTCGCTGTAGTCGTGACGATCACCGAATCACAATGGGCGACCTTGGCTTGGTTCGTTATGCGATTTGGTAGTGGACGTTGGGTTGTGATGCGCTGTCATCGGTTGGTTGGTAGATTAGGGTCAGGTCATGCATGGAAGGGAATGAAGCTTGGAAGTTGGAGGTTAAAGTGAGAGCTAGGACTCGACCAAGTGAACAAAATAGAGTGGACCTTACGGTACCTGAACTACCTAACTAAAACGCGTGCAACGAGTCCCGTCCGTGTTCAAAATCGTGGGGACCAATCCCCGAACAACGGGCCGCTCTCGGATCCATATTATCGGTAGCTGTTAGCCTGTACTACTGTCTACCACTGTCATCTATTCTTTGTACAGTTCCACGACATTTCACGACACATTATGAACAGTTTAGAATCAAAAGATGACATTGGTTTATCTTGGCTATGGCGACAACCATGTCAATAGCCCGGTTGACTAAATTGCTAAAAACCCTTCACATAACTCCGTGATAATGCTTCAACGACCACCAATCCCTTGCATGCTCGTTCCATAACGCCAGTGCCGCCAAGCCGATATATATTTGCATCTCAATGCTGTACCAATGTTCGATTTCTTTAAGCTGACGTCTTCAGTGACCGCACTTTAGGTGATGCTAGGCTTGTTTCGGCCTTGCGTTTGCCTAGTATTGGTGTGTTTTCTCGGTCCCGTGTTGCTTCTGCATGACATGATGCGTGATATGCTCGGTCGCCAACTAAAACTGTGTCTAGCCATACCCATTCTTGTGCCGTATCAAGCCATTTGTTCTCAAACTTGTCCTGGCAGATTGGACAAACAGTGTTGATACGACGAGAAGCATCGGGAACAAGAATGTACTTTGGCTTAGCAGCCTCGGATGCCTTTGAGGCCTGAGCGGCAACATCCTCAGTCGTGGGGAGGTGGTCAACGTCGACGGCTTCTCTTGACTTGAGCCAGTCCTGTAGTGTTGTCAGTAATTTTGTATTTTGAGGAGGTAGTGTTGTGACTTACGCGTTGATCAACGTACCAACTCCGGTGCATGCCTCGCTTCTCGGCCTCATTGGTTCGCTGGTGGACACGGAAATGCCAGTCCATATGAGCAATCTTCTGCTTCTTTCCAACTGGATCGTCTCGAAACCGTCTACCACACTGGGTGCAAGGCTGGCCCAGGTCGTTATGTAGCGCCCTGATTAAAGAAGGCTGACATGGTTGTTTGAGAGCGGCCACATTGATACCCCCTTGTACTGGAACTGGCGTGGGCGTTCCTGAAGGAGCAGGAGGGAGTAAGCCTGACTTTCGTAGTTGATCAAGGAGACTCCAAGGGGCTGCATTTGCTGCGGGCGCTGGTGCTGGTGCTGGTGCGGGTGTTGGTGTCTGGGACATCGTAGGCATTGGAGTCATACCAGGTATCGTAGGTATCGACATTGCTGGCATAGGGGCCATGGCCGGCATTGCAGACATGTTTGGCATAGGTGGCTTTGGCGGTTCAGAACGAACCTGAGGAGGCTGAGGAGTTGGTGTTGAGCTCGAAGGTGTAGCCGACTTTCTTGCCATCAAGGCGGCCAAGGCTCCCGGGCCAAAGAGCGCATCAAGCGTCACACCTTCTTGCGCCGGAGCCGGAGCTGCAGACGGAGGAAGGGCTACGGACACTGGAGGCATAGGGCGTGCTTGAACGGGCACAGGAGGAGTAGGTGCAGGCCTTTGAGTCAGAGGCGCCATCATGTTTACGGCAGCAAGTTCAGTTACTCGTCTCTTAATGAGCTCAAGCTGATCCGGAGGCAAGCTAGTGCTGTTCACAACGCCCTGCAGCTCATGAAGTGCTCTTAATCTAGTCTGAACATCAACATTTTGGGGATTGCGCGAGGCTTCCGCCTGCGTGGCAACAATTAGATTCCGAATGTCATTGCTCAATGACTGTCCTCCATTTGAAGTGTATTGCTGGGCTGGATGGCCTGGAGGGTATCTCGTCCCAGGCGGTGTCGGAGTATCACGATGAGGCACGGCAGATCGCGGTCGCCCAGGCATCAATCCCGCTTGGGGCATGCTTACGGCGCGTGCCTTCAAGAGTGCATTCTCAATAGGACGCACCAACTCGTGCGAAAAGACGGGCCTGCTGTCCATTGACCCAGGGACAGGCTCCTTCCATGTTCTAAGCATCTCCTCCATTTTTCGACGAACTGGTTGATCGACTACTGCATAAGATTCCATAAAGGTCTTGAACAGATTGCGGCCGAAGTAGAGGGTGTATGGTGTGCCGACATTTTTCACGATCGAGTCGAGTACATACAGAGCTGGAAGTTTCTTGTTCGGTGGCGCCTACGCGTAAATTAGCATTAGATCGGATTGAATTGTTCGTGCGCATTCATATTGCACATCGCGATTCCAACTTACCTTGAGGATGTGTTGTTGCAAAACTTCGGCGATAGCTAGGGCATGTTCAGTATTCTCACGAGCAATGACTGTCAGGTTGCTAATCTCGAAGCGCATGTTAGAGGATAGGTCCTCCAAGGCCATGCGGTAATCCTCCGCCACCTCGGCAGAGTCTCCAGACATGATGGCGGTGATGGAGACGAGCGCAACTGGTCGTGTGAGGTAAAGTGATGGTGATGGTGATGATTGGGCTAGGCACAGGTCAAGCTTAGTAGCGATAGGCTACGGAACCCGCTGGTGTCGGGTCTGGAACAATAATTGCGGATGCCTGAGGCTCCACTCAACAATAGATCTGGTACGGAGTAGGAAGTCGCGATTCAAATGCAAGAAAAAGCAACAAAGAGATGGGTTTCTCCCGAATGAAACAGGCCAAGGAAAGAAGGCAGCTAATAAAACGGTTCCCCTGAAATGCACAGCTACTCCTTGATCAATTTTTGTACCAAAAGTCTTTATTGTTGCGCAAGGAGTGTGAGTTCTTTGTATTGACTAAGTACTGATAAATAGGATGGATCTGAAGTAAGAAGAGGGAAGGAAAAGCGAACAGCATGTAATGGATGTCAAGTCTCCTTTAATAAATCCGCGGTTTTCTGGCTTTACGCCCTCAGGCATTCGTTTGTTCCTTATCGGCTGACAAATAAAGTCGGGCAATGTGCGTGCTACGCCACGAGGTTATCGTGTCAGCCAAGGGCTCTGAACTTTAAGGCCTCCAAATGTAAACTTAAACTGATAGAAATTCCACCACGGCCTACTGAAACCTCGATTCTCTACAGTACTATCTGTGCATAGCCACTTTAATATAAGGGCTGTTCATAGCTTGAGAAACAGTAGGTCAAGAAGAAACAAGTCTCTGCATAAATACATGAGCCTTCTGAATATTAATCTTAGAAACAAATTTGAGTTTGAATATGATTTTTTGAACTGGTTATAAAGACAGTTTGACAAGATGGTATCCCTGCTAGCAAACAAATAAAAAAGCCACAAATCCAAAACGTGGTATCGCTGACTCCTAATGCCTTAACGCCCTTCTACCTTTTTTCCTTCGCGCACGCAACCTTTGCAGTAACAACTTTCCGAGTTGCACTGTACATTCTCCTTGTTCTTCACAGTCTTGTGGACCGTCTTCGCGGCCTGTGCCGATTGCTTCTTGTCCTCCGCTACTTTACGCGCTTTCTCCTATTTGCGCGCCGGCCCTTCCTAGAATCGAGACATGTGCGCCTCCGAGTACATGCTCGGGCTATGCGGGCGAATATTCATGGGGTGCAGGGCTGTATCTGGGCGACGAACTTCGGGGACGATGGGACTACGGCGGTCCTCGCCAGAGTCGTATGAGTGCCGATTGAGTGAAGAGGGTTCTTGATGCTCATAGTGAGGGGGAGGAGGGGCATTGCGCTCAAGATCACGCTCACGAGTGATAGGTTGACTTATGGTAGGTCGTCGGGGTGTGGACTCGTTCTTCCTGTCCCAAAAGAATCTTTTGAAAGTATTCTGAGGTCGATCTTCATTAGTAAATGATGCGCTGTAGTTAGACTGGGGTTTGCCGAACGATTCATCGTCCGCGAGGGATCCATTGGACCGAATCTTGCGAGCATTGACGTTGACACCTCGGAAGACGAAAGTGCAGATGAGGTTCGTAAGGCCGAAGGTGGAGGTCAAGATGCCAGCGGACACGATAAGTCGCCAAAAGGGAAGACCCAAATGCTCGCTACTATAATCCTCCGAGTTGAGCTTGCCGAGGAGGTTCGTCCCAATCAGTATAAGAGCGATTCCAAGCCAAAAGAGACCGTGTTCATCGGAGAAGACGGGCCAATGGTTGGCGAAATACGCTTTGCAGAAGGGCAACTCGGAAATGACGAGGAATATGGTGGCTGAACTCAGCATCGCGAGAGAGAGAGCCTCGAAAAAGAACCAGCCTTTGGAGGTGTCGATCTTGATGATGAGGACCCAACAAGAGGCAGCGGCGGCTAGAAGGCTGATGATCGTGAAAACACGCAGGATCTGGAGAATGATCATGCCTGGGCCCCAGGCTCGCTGACCAAATCCGAACATGGCGGGCGATGGCGTATTTAGTAGGTAGAAATGAATGAAATGTTGTTGAGTTACGACTGAAGGTCGAGAAAATATCGAGATGAAGTTTTGATAAGGAAGGAAGAAGGCTAGAGGAAGTGGTTAGACGACGACTTTCTTGTTAAACGTAAGGTAGGTAACTCAAGGACTTACTTTGAAGTAGCAAAGCGTGATATTTGAGTTGTGTAGAAACTTTTGAATCGAAGTTATAGTCACGACAGTGAAGTGAAGTTTGTCGGGTGTATGTAAGTGAACGTTATCAGTGAGTTGGTTTATAAGTGAGTCGAAGCTTGCACAAATGAGAAAGTGTATGTGATATTGGAACCAGTCCGAACAGTCAATAGGTGAACAAGAGGAAGTCCAAAGAATAGAAGGTTTAATGATAGGAAATAGGTCAATGAAGGTGATTGAACACCATTGTTGGGCTTTGAATGAACGAAGAACAATAGGAAATGGGGAGGGGTTTGCCACCTGAACAGCTGGCACAGGCAGACTTTAAGAGCGACTGCATATGCACACAACAGTCACACTCTTTGTTGGAAACGATGCTACATCAGAACAAAACTTTGGTTGGCCCCTGCATGCACCATCGACCAAGCGAAGCCGTGGTTTCTCATCATGGCATGGATGTGAAGCTGGAGAGCCAACCAAAAGGGAGGCGACTCACGGTTCGATCGTTTCCCGCATCGAATCGCGTCAACGATTTACTCTGATGCTGGGCTCCACTCGGGTAGTCAATAGTGTCAGAAATGCAGAGAACCCATCAGCGCTGCCGTCATGGCCGCTGTATCTGGCCGCGAGCTGCTGCTATTCAGACTCGGTTTCAGCGGTTCCTTGCTCTGTGTGGAGGGCCCCGATGGGCAGCAACAGGTCGCAGCGACTCAGACCAGTCGACCCAGGTCAGCGCCTAAGTCTGGTGCTCGTGCGATTTCATCCGCAAGCGCTGTCGTCCTGAACGTTGGGCGCCATCGCTGGATGGTTTGTTATATTTGAATCTCAAGACCGGGGTTGAGATGGAGCACGATTGGCTGTGCTGTGTCGAAACGTTGTTTCAGGCCTTGCACTACGAGCCGGGGCTCTAAGTGGGCCTCAGGGCCAACGCTAAGTGGCCAATGAAGTGGTCTCCACTGAAATACAGAAGACCAGAGGCTTCATGATGGATGGAATAAAAGAGAGTTGGAGTCATCAAATGCAGAGAATTGGTTCATTAAATTGTTCAGACAAGTATAAGTGGCACCGGTAATGCAGGATGGGGATAATACTGTTAAAGAAATACGCTGGTTCTGTATCCTGTACGGTAAATGCTCAACCAAACAATCTAAGGGGGAGTTCATCATCCGGACAAATACTAAAAACTAACTCCAGCTCAGCCAACTTCTGCAAAGCTTCCCTCATTTTTCAGCTCACTCAAGCAAGCCCCCAAAAACAACCCGGATCTCGTTTTCGTATGCTAGGGTCGCTTATTGCTAGGCCAAAGACCCAGCCAGGCGCTTGTGCTCTATCAAACGGAAACTTAGCCGCGATGCTATTTTTGACCAACCAGGTGTAAGCGCCGGTGTTAGAAATAGCATCTCGTAGGGCTGTTAGTGTCTTGGTTTACAATTCTAGTGAATCTGACTGTGATAAACGAGTTGAGTTTATTTGTGAAAGCTCTAATTTACTCAAGTATTTCGTCATTCGTTGCTGTAACGTCAGATCGTTCAGAGATAGATGCGCCCATTAATAGAAATAGGTGCGGGTCACAATAAGCGTTCTGTTTCCCTCCAGTCTGAGCCCAACTTAGAGGCTCGACCTTTCAGTTTACCCTGTATTTACTGCCAGGTCCCACAAAGGACACAAGGAACTACCAAGGGAAGCCAGTTTTGTTAATGAAATTAAATTAAAATCAACTTATACACTTGTCTAATGTCTAAATAGCTTCGGGTAGGTTACAGGGAATGTAAAGAAGTAGCCTCTCGGGCCGTATTCCAGAGTCACTTTGTGTGCATACTGAGTAACGTGGCCCTGGAACCAGCAAATTGTGTTAATGAGTATGTTGATGTCGATTCTTTGTAACGATGCCAGAAGTGATGGATCGTGAATATGCTATCCGCCATGTAACGCCTGAAATCGAACCTGAAAACGCCGTAACCATGCTGTTTCGTGTATATATGCCCTTAATCATCCTGCGTCAGGTCTATAAATCCAACATCGCTCGTCCGAAAAATCTTAGCCTTAACTCCTCTGCGCTCTAGAGCTGCTGTTTCCCTAGCCATCAGCTCATCGCGCTCTTCTGCGTCGACCTCCACCTCCTCGTAGAAACCCATGGCGCTGGCCTTTGGGATGAGTAACTTCTTCTTCCGCGCAGGAGCAGGGCTTGGGGTTGCGTTTCGATCTGGTGGCAAGGACGATTGTTGTCGTTTGTTGGGGGATGCAGAGGAGCGGGAGATGAGGGAGGAGAGGGGAGCAAGATCGGTTGACGAGTCACTATCAAAGTCATCATCGAAGCTCGTTTGAGATCTTGGCTGGTGTTGTTTGGAAGCTGGGAGTGAAGGTTTTGAAACAGAAGTCTGGGAGGAACACGTGTTCTTGGTCTTTTTTGTGAACATGTCCATAGACATTTGTTTCATCTTGGGTGGTTGAGATGACTGAGAAGAAGTCGGTGGGTTTACACGTCTCGCGTTCAACGCCGAGTCTTTCAGCCTTTGCGGAGAACCACTTGACATAGAAATCGCACGCATCGGTTCAGGTAAGTCGCGAGAGGCAGGCACACGAGTCCTTGGCCGCGGCGAAGGCGAAGGGGGAGGCGAGTCTGCTGCACAGGGCGGGCTAGATGTGATAACAATCGCTTGCTGTTCATTTGCAGGCTTTCGTGTCCTAGGAGTCACCTGTGAGCTGGCAAGTGTCCAAGGGGTTGTTGTCTGCCTGACGGTGCTACCCGAGGTTGACACAGATTGCTTACTTGGCTCCAGAGGTGACGGTATTCGCAAGCGGCGGGACGTTGTCGGTCGGATCGGCGAGGTGATGATTTCGTTCTCTTTGGGTAGAGCCTTGGAAGTCACTGTAGAGACAGTATGAGGTTTGCTTGCTCGCACAAACTTGTTAAGCGCCCCAGCAGGCATCCCCGTCTTCGGGCCAGGCTTGGACCTTGTTCCTTTCGTTTTTGGTTCCTTTGCTTGCTGTTTCTTCTTCTCTGCAGCCTTTTGCATCACCTGAGCGTCTGCAAACACCTCTGGTATCCTCGACTTCGCCAATATTTCCAATGCCCAAACACCTTGCCGCCCTGAAGGGTTAAAAGGAGCCGGCTGCCGTTTCGCCGTGGATTCCTCGATGTTCTCCGCATCGTCGATTTCGTCATCGCTGTTCAGTGCCAGTCCACCTCGAGCTTGCACTATCTTTTCATCTTCCTCTTTGGATAAGTCGATGGGCACAATTTCGCTTGGAATATGCTGTATGCGAACTTGCGCCACCAAGTCATTCTTGAGATCGGACCTGAACCCTGCGATCCCTTTGACGTAGTCTGCGTTGTCATGTCGTTCTAGAGCCTGTAACTTTTGGACAAGCACTGCATGAGAAAGCACCTTTATGAACTTGAGAGCGCCAACTCGGTAATCCCAGCCAAAGACCTCTCTCGTAAACTCTCTTAGGTCTTCAAACTGGATCTCTCTTTTCAGATGAACCTTCTCTCGGATCTCGTCTATACTTTCTCCTGGGGACACAACAGGATGTGTATAGTAGCGTAGAACCTTGAAGTCTGGGAAGGTTTCCGGTATCGCCAGGGCCTTGTTCTTCCTCTTGAAATGACCACTCTCGTTGGTGCGAAGCTCATGTATCAAAGAATTCCTCCAAGCCGCTGTCCCTTCTTTGTCCACCGCCTTCAGGCGACAGAGATCTCGGCCAAAGCCAGCTTTGGCAGCCTCAACAGCCACTTTGATGCCACAGCCGGGGAGCCCATTAGGATCATAGTCGCCGCCGCTCATCAAAGCAACAAGAACCATGCCTTCGCGATCCAAGCCATGTTGGTCAAGCTTCATCTTCTCCGTATCGAACAGAGAGACGTGCGTCGGTGTTGTGTCGCGTTTCGATGCTGGTGACCACTGACGTAGCATTTTGGTGCATCCAAACATCAGAGCGTCAACATCTTCTGTAAGAACCATGTCTACGACGCCATGTTTCTGCAGCAGAGCGCACTCCGCCTCAGCTTCTCCAGGCGCATCATGGGTGTTGCAGCCGAATAGTCGAATTAATCGTTTCGCTTGTGCATTCGCGAAGGAGTCGCCTCGACCGGATTTCTTGTTGCGCTTGATCGCAGGCTTGTATGGACCGTCGAAGACAAAGATGGGCTCGACTGGACATGCCAGTAGACGAACGAGTCGGTAGAATAAAGTTCGAATTTCGGGATTCGTGCCGCCTGACCGTTGTTAGAGAAGCGCCCCAGTATCTCAGTGGCTGTGGTATACCTTGCGCCGCCTGATTTTGAAATTGCCAAATCGCAATATCAATTGCTATTCGTAAAGGCCGTCCCTGCTTCTCTAGTGACTCGGCGGCGAGTTTCAGTAAGGCCACTCGTTCGCCTTCGCCCACCTCTTGGTAGATCCTGGAGATGTTAGCCCGGTTTTCGGCATTACATAACAGGAGATTCTTACCCTTTGATACCCATTTGAACATCAGAAAGATCTTGAAGCAATGAGCTTCAAGCACTCTCCTGATTCAATAGTCGATGATGTAGGTTGGAATTCACGGTTCAAGGTTGCCCCACGTCGCTGCGGTTACCAGAGACCACTGTTTTCTTGGCCAGTGAAGGCGGCAGATCGGCGCTAGAAACGCCGACTTCAAATAACCATTCAACCAACCAGCGTTAAGTGAAGTTACATGGCTACGCCCTGACCAGGGGCATCTCATCGCCAACATCGAACAAAGGGAAGAAGCAGGAAACGCAGAAGAATTCATCTCACTCGTGATGGCCTCTGGCGCTGGATCTACACTTGCTCATAGAAGCGTGGCTAGTATCCGTGGAGGTCCTCCTCAGGGGCCAAGTCCAACGACTCCACATACCCCGAATCGCTCGTCTGTTATTTCATCATACGGCTCACCATCGACTATTCGTGCTGATGACGAGTTCATCGTTGTTGAGTTGGGCTCACGCCATATCAGAGTGGGATTTGCGGGCGACACATCTCCCAGGGTGGTTCTTCAATGCAGCCCTGAAGATCAAAGGCGGGCTGGAGACTTTAGAGGCTGGCAGCAGCCGAAACGGTCACCTGGCTTGCAATGGTCAAAGGAACATGAGTTTTGGCGATATGATCTAAGAGATATAGAGCTTGGACTATATCAGGATAAGCTGGAGCGTGTGCTACATGATGCTTTCTCAAAGTTTGTCTATCTTAAATATCACAAGGGACAGTTGCTTACATGCATACAGATACTTGCTCATCGATTCCAGACCACGAAGACTTGGGCTGGTCTTAGACTCTGGGGTACCTTTACCACTGTTGACAGCCACCTTGGATACACTGTTCAGCAGATTTCAGTCACCAACTATCTCTCTCATGTCAACACCGTCCATGTCGGCCATCTCAGCAGGTGTGAGATCCGCCTTGGTGATAGATATGGGTTGGGCAGAGACTGTCATCACCAGCGTCTATGAATACCGGGAAGTCAAGACAACACGCACAGTCCGAGGTGGCAGAGCGCTTTTAGACACACTTTACAAAACCATCGAGCCATTAATACCAGGAGAACATGATGTCACCAAACAAAGAGCACTAGGCTTTGAGGAATGCGAAGACATCATGTGTCGTTTGATGTGGTGCAAGCCATCAGAATTTCGATCATCTCAAAGGCAGTCGACTCAGCTGGAAACAGTTGATGAACAAGAAGAAATCGAGGCTGAGTCTGCGCAAGCTGGCGTTCCAACAGGGGTCGCCCAAATACCCATCAACACAAGTCGTCGTCCAGTGACAGTGGAGCTTCCCTTTGAGAAACTCGCCGAGGTCTGCGACGATACCTTCTTCGACCCTTCAGCAGACCGAGCGACATTTGACGACGATGAATTACCGCTGCACCTGCTATTGTATAGACATCTTTTACAACTACCACTGGATGTACGAGCAATCTGCATGTCACGCATAATGTTCACGGGAGGATGTTCCAATATCTTGGGCATCAAGCAACGAATTATCGACGATCTCACAGCCATCGTCAACAAGAGGGGATGGGAGCCAGTGTTCGGAAAGGTTGTGGACAAGCATCGCAATAGTGCTAGGATCCATCAGCAGTCCAGCACCACTTCTCCTACAGAAGGCTCGCCATCCTCATCACCAGGTGAAGCCGAACAACGCAAATCTCCCAAGAACGCAGCCGATTCAAAGCCAGAGCACGACCCGATAGAAGCCAAGGTTGTACGACAGCGGGCTACGGTTCCACAATTCAAGGGCCAGATCCGAGTGATCCATACTCTTGGTCCATGGATTGGAGGTAGCTTACTCTGTCAGTTGAAGATTCCTGCCATGGCGATTATTGATCGCGAGTCGTGGCTTCTACAAGGCGCCAATGGAGCTTCTCGACCTAGCGAAGTGGACTTCAAGGCACAACACAGACAGAGCGTGCAAGCAGGAGGTTACGCTCGGGGAGGCGGAGGACATCACGGGAACTGGACTCTAGGTGTATGGGGTTACCTGTAGGAGGTTCAACGTTGAGAGATAGATATCATGACATGAAATGAGGATCATGTTGGTGTGGCAGATGAGGTAGGCCAGGTTAGTTAGGCAACCAAATACCCTATTTAGGACGAGATCAACATAATTGGTCCAATTACATGCAATGTTTGTCTATTTGCCAAGAATGAATGAATGAATACCTGAAGGTTGATGTCCCATTCCGTGATGGTCCGTAGTCTATTCGCTCGGGTAATTGCATTAAGCAAGCTCTCCACTGTTAAGCTTCGGCAGCCGATGTCAAGCTCCAAACTCGCTGATCAGGCAGTCTAGCTTAGTACCTCAGTCATGCTTCATATGAGCTGCTCACCAATTCAACATCCACCATGAACAAGACATTATCGCGCCTACGGTGTCGCGCTCTACACCCGAGGCTCAATCCGCTATTGGCTCGCAGTTTCGCAGATGTGAAGCGGCCTCCCTCAGCGCCGAAACCCATCGTCGATATCAAGCACATCAGACAACACGCAGAACTTTATCAGCAAACTTGCGTGGAGCGCAACTATCGCAACCAAGCGCAAAACCCAGCTAAAATTCTAGAACTTCATGCGAGATGGCAGGATCTTCAGCGACAGGGTCGCGCTTTGCGGGAGAGGTCGAATTTGTTGAGGAGACAGCTTGCGAACCCGGCGACGAGTAGTGATGATGAGGATCTTAAGGAAGTGCGCCAATTGACCCGTGAGCAGATCCAGGAGGAGGCGCGACAGCTCAAACAGGATCTTTCGGCAATTGAAAAGGGAGAATCGCAGGCTGTTACGCAAATGGAAGAGTTGGCGCTCGAGTTGCCCAATCTCACTCATCCTGATACTCCAAAGGGAAGCGATTTTGAGGTCATGAGCTACATCAACGACCCACCCACTTTTACGGAATCACCTGAGGATAAAATCTGGCGATCTCATGTTCACATCGGTTCCGAGCTTGGTATCTTTGATTTCGCTGGTGCTGCTACGGCTTCTGGTTGGGGTTGGTATTATCTTCTTGGTGAGGCTGCTCAACTGGAGCAAGCTTTGGTTCAATATGCCCTCGCTGTTGCAACCCGTCATGGCTGGACACAGGTGTCGCCCCCCAGCATGGTTTACAGTCACATTGGAGCTGCCTGTGGATTCCAACCCCGCGACCTGAACGGCGAACAACAAGTCTACACTATCGCCCAGTCAGCCGAAGACGCTGAGCGCGGTGTCCCTGAGATGTGTCTCACTGGAACATCCGAGATTGCTCTTGCAGGAATGAAGGCCAACACTACTCTTGATTCCGAAGACCTACCTCTCAAGCGAGTTGCCGTCTCTCGCTGCTATCGCGCTGAAGCTGGAGCCCGTGGTGCCGACACCAAGGGTCTATACCGAGTACACGAGTTCACCAAGGTGGAAATGTTCGCATGGACAGCACCGGATGAGGATATCGCTCAGGAACTCTTTGACGAGATGCTCGACTTGCAGACCGAGATCCTGTCTTCACTTGGACTTTACTGCCGTATTCTATCTATGCCCTCCCACGATCTAGGCGCATCAGCCACCCGTAAGATCGACATAGAGGCTTTCTTCCCCAGCCGCCGCGACAACTGGGGTGAAGTCACATCAGCAAGTATGTGCACCGACTACCAAACCCGCCGCCTCGGCACACGAACACGCATTGATGGCAAGCTCGCCTTCCCATGGACGTCCAATGGTACTGCCCTGGCTGTTCCTCGTGTGATAGCAGCTATTCTGGAGAATGGATGGGATGAAGAGGCCAAGACTGTCACAATTCCAGAGTGCTTACGGCCATGGATGGATGGCAAAGAAAAGATTGGTCTTGGGGGACGTCGTTCGAGCGTGGATCGCGTGTAAGTTTGGAATGAGGGATGAAGCATGACTTTGACTGCGTGCGTGTACGAATGGAGAATATGACGGAGGCATAATTGCTATGAAATCTTGATATCTTATTTAATATGAAACGCAAGGCGTAGTCTATCTATTGAATACAAAGCACTGTCCTTTATAGCCTCTAAGCAGTCTATCTTGAGAAGTCTGGAGACAAATATGTTATCACCACATCAAGTTCTTTACTTTCCTCTCCCAACCAGGCATCATGAACTCTATACCTGGACTTCCCCTCCATCTATACCATCCGGACATCTTCTTCATCGCCCCAACCCAACCTAGTTCTCCTCTTCTCCATGCTCTGCCCCTAGTCCCATCTCCCCTGTGTTGCACAACATACACGCCTCCATCCGACGCTGTCGTCAACTTTGCTTCCCCACGCTCTGGATCACCACTGCTATGGTATTCTCGTCGGCGCGGTGTTCTATTCGCTTGGAACCGTTTGTTGTGATCCAAGTCCAGAATCTCAGTTGCAGCAACCTCCATCCAAACATCCAATGTTCGCAGGTGATCTGCATAAATGATGAGGATCGCAAGGAGGGAAGAAAGTCCCGATGCAAGCCAGAACACCCAGAATGATTTACCCTCCGGGCCATATGAGCTTTCAATCGACAATATTCCTGACACAACTGTCAGGGGTAGCAACAGACCTCCTAGATACGCTATTCGATCTAGACTTCTGGAGTTGGAATCTTTGGGGTCGTTTTGAGCTTCTTGGGCATGTACTTGGAGGGCAACTGCAACAGAGAGCTGTATACGTCTATGCAGACGTTCTGCAAGATTTGACCAGTCTGCGGATGTAATGGTACTGAACTCTCCTCGTCGCTCCATGCCTCTGGTGATATCTGCATTGGTTTCAAGGGCTCGCACGATAGTCCACTGAACATCCACAGAATCAGATCCGAGAGGTGGTAATGAGTCTAGTTTCTGGAGCCACATGTCGTAGATAATCTCTGCGACTAGATCCTCTATCGGGCGAATATCGACGAGGGCTTGCCACAGGGAGTCTTCCAGGCCGGATCGCTTTGGAGGACGTTTACCTGATGTTTTGCCGTCTGGGCGAGTATTACTTGGTACTCTTGACGGTCGATAAGGCCGTGAGGATATTCGAAACGGAAGACCATCGAGGAGAAGAATAGGCAGTTGATCCTTGACCATGAGAGACGCACGACATATTCTGATCCCCTCATCCTCATCAGGTTCATCGTCATCTTTCTCTTTCGTCTCACCATCCTCCTCGTCCGGTTTCCTTTTCCTTATCTCAGACTCGGGGAACTCCCAAACCCATCCTCCCCTTTTCCTATCCAACTCCATGCCTAATAGAACACCCATATCACATTCCCCTCTTACAATAGCCAACTTCCGCCAACCGGGCCTTTCCACCGTCACCATCTCTTCTTGAAACTCTTCAACACTGAGTAATTCTTTCTGTCGACAGTTTTGTGTACTCCATTCGAGAAGATACGGCCGGGAAAGCTGTGGTCTTCCGGCGACGGGAATGACCCGATCCGATGAGCGCCGAGTCCGGTGCCGGGCTTCGGGAGCCGGGCGTGGTCGTGACATCAGGTTTCTTATTCTCTGTTCTGCTGGGCGACTCAAACCGCTAGATCCAATATTCAAATAAAGACTCGAGCTAGCCAAAACTGTTATTAAAAGTGTTTCTGAGACCTTACCAACTCGAATTTGGGGGAGTTTCACTCTTTTGAGTCTCTGAGCACTCTCTTCTACCCGACCCCATGAACACAACTACCGTCATGCGAGAAGTTCTCAGGGCATTTCGTCTCCATAATTTCGCAGGCAAAAACTCTGTTCATTTCAGACTTTAGGGGTCCTCAAGGGTCTCATTTAGGCAGACGTTCCCCTGCACCCCCATCAGCAAGTGTCTAAGTGTGGTCATGTGCCAAGTCCTTGAGCGCAGATGACCCAGACCTTGAAGAAACATCAACACGCGACGTATTCACCTGTGAACGAAATATTACATAAACACCTGTCAACTTAGATAGATGAACCTTGTTTATCTATGGTTGACTCATGACATAACCCGGCTTGTAGTTGGTATATTGGTGCGTTGCCTCAACTCATATCACTCAAGAAACCATAAAAAAGATCATCCCTGTGGTTCTATAAGCTAGCCTTCGTTCGTGCATGGCTCGTCATCTTTGTTGAATGGTAACTTTACATAAAATGACTTCTTTACCGCTCTTCCCGAAACGCCAGGCCAGACGCCATTTTAACAGAGGCAAAATCATAGGATGCTGAGACTTCCTCTCTCTTGTGTCTCTCGATTCTCTACCCTCCGCTTCTGTTTTCTGTCCCCTTTCGTTGTCTGCTTCTTTTGTCTCTTCTGCCTTTCGTGGTTTCTCCCCCCCTCTCCCTCTTACAGGCATTCGTCCAAAGGAGTGTCGAGTGCAAAGTATGTGTCAAATGACGCTGAATAAAAGAATAGACGCCCCAGTGCAAGAATCTCAGATCATAACCCCATGCGTATACGTGCGGCAACATGTCCAATCCATGATCGAGGTCAACTATCAATAACAATATTTCGAACTCCTGAACCTCAAATGTTGCACCCAGAAACTCAAAACTCAAACTCAACGGTGATGATCGTCGTCGCCATCGTGATGCAGAGTGACACTGTTGAACTCGAGGAACGGGTCGGCAATTTCACCACCAGGAGTTGCCAGTCCACTGTCTAGCGGAACTCCAGTTAAGTTCATCGCCCTTGATCCGGACAAGTCGACACTCTCGCTTTCCTTGACGTTTCGGAAGTTGACTGTATCAACTCCTCGGCCCGCGTGAGGAACAATCGGTGGCTTTTGGTGTCGAATGAGTGCCCATTGTGTCGTTCTGAAGAATGGATGCGCCTTGATATCTGATGCGCCAGCTCGGGCGCCGAGTCGTCGATTCTCATCCTTGATGAGTAGTTTCCTTATCAAAGACTTGCAGAGGCTGTGGCTTGGTTAGGACAGTAGGATAGTGAGTTTTCGCCTAGGACTTACTTGGAGATTTGTGGTGCACCAGTGTGGTCGGGGAATGGAATATCCTCTCTAAGGATATTTGCGAAAGTTGCATTGCGGTTCTTTCCCTTGAAGGGTGTTGTGCCGTAAA